ATATATATATATATATATATATATATATATATATATATATACACACACACTTTTTATTCCTGTTATACAGATAAGAAAATTGAGCTCCAAGAGATGAAGAATCAGCCCAGGTGGACATTCAAATCATGTGTTCTTTCCAGTCCTTGCTCTCTCCCCAAAATACCAGGCTACTCCCCTTCTCTCTTTTCTCAGGTTTTACTCCAATGCAAAGGTGTCCTTCCAGCAAACTTCAAGATACATAGCTAGTTATCCTTTAAATGGAAAAGACCTTTTCCGCCAATTGAGTCTCTTTTTTTTTTCTCTCTGGGAAACTGAGGAGGAGTTGTGAACTATCATCCCATTCATTATTCATTCATTTAACAAAGGTTTACTGAGCACCTACTGTCAGACAATGTTCTCCATACTGTGGATACAATAGTAAATAAGATAGACAACACTGCCCTCTCAAAGGTTAAATTCCAGTCACTTTGCAGCATTAGAAGATAAGGTTTTGAGAGGTTAAGGGGCTTGTCAAAGTCACTCAGTAATTCTGTGGCACAATTAAGACTGAAGTCCAAATCTACATGACTTCCGGCACAAAGTCATGACCTTTCTCTCATCTGCCTCTGGTTTTGTCCACCCACGGTCAGTCTCTGTCCTGCAGGATGACCTCAGAGAACTTCACATGGGCCGGGGGTGCACCTGCTGAATTCATCCTCCTGGGTATCACCGATCGCTGGGACCTACGCATTACCCTCTTCCTGATTTTCCTGCCTGTTTACCTCGTGAGCCTGCTGGGGAACATGGGCACGGTGCTGCTGATCTGTGTGGATGTCCGGCTCCACACACCTATGTACTTCTTCCTGGCCAACCTCTCTCTGCTGGATGCCTGCTATTCCTCAGCCATCGGCCCCAAGATGCTAGTTGACCTGCTGCTGCCCCGTGCCACCATGCCTTATGCAGCCTGTGCCCTCCAGATGTTTGTCTTCTCAGGGCTGGCCGATGCCGAGTGCTGCCTGCTGGCAGCCATGGCCTATGACCGCTACGTGGCCATTGGAAACCCTCTTCTCTATACAACGGCCATGTCACGGCATCTATGTCTGGCCTTGCTGGGAGCATCAGGCCTGGGCGGAACAGTGAGCGCCTTTGTCCACACAACCTTCACCTTCCGTCTGAGCTTCTGCCGCTCCCGTGAGGTGAACAGCTTCTTCTGCGATATCCCTCCTCTGCTGGCTATCTCCTGCAGTGACACGAGCCTCAATGAGCTCCTCCTCTTTGCCGTCTGCGGCTTCATCCAGATGGCCACAGGGCTGGCCATTGTTGCGTCCTATGGCCTCATCACTGGGGCGGTGATCCGCATGCGCTCAGCCGAGGGCCGCCAAAAAGCAGCCTCGACTTGTGGCTCCCACCTCACGGCTGTGGCTATGCTCTACGGGACACTCATTTTCATGTACCTGCGTCCCAGCTCCAGCTACGCCCTGGACACAGACAAGATGGCATCTCTGTTCTACACCCTGGTCATTCCAGCCCTCAACCCGCTCATCTACAGCCTCCGCAACAAAGAGGTGAAGGAGGCCCTCCGAAGGACCTGGAGCCGATTCTGCTGTCCTGCACGGGTACACCCACGACAGGTCTGGGGGGTGTGGTTAGGTCCCTGGCACCGTGGATAAATATGGATGTTCCTCTGGCTTGTGGCTTTGGCATTGTTCAAAGGACTACCAAGGGGGAGGAAGGCGAGAATATATGGAGGCAGAAAGGGCGTGACCTAGAACTAGAGCAAAGATCAAGTTAATGTTGCCACACAGCTTCCTTAACTTCACCCATGTTCAATAAATGTTCCGACATGTTACCCAGCGAAGTGACATAGGCTTATAGGTTGATCCCCAGAAACACTAGGTTGGAGCACTACTGGCTCGAAACATTCCTAGACTCTTGTACTTTTAAGGATCTCTGGTGGGGCAGTGAGTGGTTGAGGCATTTGGCTGTTAACCAAAAGGTCGGTGGTTCAAACCCACCAGCTGTTTCATGGAAGAACGATGAGGCAATCTGCTTCTGTAAAGATTTACAGCCTTGGAAAGCCCATGGAGGTCACTGAGTCAGAATCGACTCGGTGGCAATAAGTTGGTGAGAGTTTGTACTATCAGGGCTCTTCTTGGCTGCTCCTGTCTTATGCGGGCCAGAGAAAGTCTGTGCCTGCTCTCCTTGACCTCACACCAGGAGAGCATCTTCAGAACCTGCTTGTGCCAAAGAATGGGACTGAATCTGATGAGACAAACACCTTTCCCTTTTATAGCCCAGAGAAATAGCCAACATAAACTCATTCCTAAAATCCCAACAGTCTGCTTAAGATTTAGTCAAGGTTAGATTAGTACAGGCATAGGATATAGCTTAGGAAAGAGTCAGAATTATGGTTATGGTTAGGAGAGAGTTAGGATTAGAGTTCAGGTTACAGCTAAGACTAGAGTTAGGACTAGTTTAGAGCCAGGATTAGGTTTAGAATTAAGAAGCAATCAAGCAAATTTAGGATTGAATGAAATTATGTAAATTTTAAGATTTGGATTGGTTTTAATAAGTAGTAAATTTGGGGTAAATTTAGGGATGAGTCAGAATTTAGATAAACCTGGACTCATCTTAAAAATATTAGAAATATTAGAAATATTTTTGGGTTAATATTAGAGTGCAAAACTAATTAATATTAGAATTCAGGTTTCATTTTTATTGCTAGAGAAAAGTTCAATTAGAGTTTAGTTTCAATTAGAGCACTGCTAGATTAAGTAAAGTTGATATGTGGATAATGTTTATGTGTTTAAGTCACAATCTAGTTATTATACTTAGGCTAGGATCTGACTAGATAAGAATTAGGCTGTAAATCTTTACAGAAAAAAAAAAAAATTGAGAACCCCTTCTCCCATCACAAGTTTTTATAATCTTTTCCCAGTTCCCCCTTTCCTCTTACCTCCTATCAGCATAACTCACATGCTGTGACAGGAGTTGGAGGCATTAAAAGACTATGAATTGCCCAAAGAGTTGGCAATTAAAAGACTATGAATGTGAGGTTTGCCCCCCAATTCAATCTCTCCCATTCTCCTACACTTCCTGCAAGAAGGCTTTGGGCAACAGCTGAGGGGCAGGACAGTTGGCCCCAGAAGCTAGTCCTCTAAATCCTGGACTCTCCTGCCCTTGGCCCTGGTCACTCTATTTGGGATTCAGGAGTCAGCCAAATGCCTCTCTCTGGAGCTCATAAGACAGGGGTTGAGGAGCAGCAGCTTCACTGCTGATGCAAGCATGGGGCTCCTGAGTGTCCCTCCTACCTGAGACAAATTAGTCCCCAGGGTTGGAGGCAGTATCAACCATCCCTTCTGTAATCAAACTGGGCCCCAGAGAGGAAGGATAACAAATCCCAGAGCTGAGCTGCCTCCACCCCAGAGATGAGGGCCAAGGGAGGGGTTGCCTCTGGAGAGAAGTTAAGATGCTTCCAAAGTCCCACACCCAATAACTGGCCAATAATTCCCTCCTCAGGCCCTCTAGTAACAGGATATACCTGGCCCCCTGCTGCTGTGCCCTCCAGTGATGTGGAGAGGCCAGAGGGTACATTTTGGGGGTAAAGGCCCAGGCTGGAGAGTGTGCAGATCTGTCTTCATGTGTGTGACTGTTTGCATTACTCAAACATGTAAGTATGAGAGCATGTGTGTTTCATTTGAGGCTGTCATTGTGCATCACTATCACTGCATGACAGTACCATTGTTGGAGGGACAGTGTGGTTGTGGATATGCCCTTCTATAGTAGGCCATCTCTGCTGTGAACCATGATGATCTTTTTGAGTGTAGCTGAGTACAGGAAGGTGTGAAGCTGTGGGATCCTGAGACTGTGCATGAGGATGTGAATATGTGATCAATGATATGATTGGGTTTGACTGGGTGTGCATGAAAAGCCACCTCATCTTATAGTAGGCAGTCAATGAAAGCGTGAATGTGCATGATGGTCACAGTAGTCGTGCATGGCGATGTGTGCCTCCATCAACAGGAATATGTGAATACTTGTTACTTTCTGGCCTCAGTGCAGTGTATGACTGCATTTGACCCTGTATTTATGTGCACAGTTATCTGGGTCTGTGGGTCTCTGTGGTTATGCCTGTCTGTGTACCTACCTAGGTGTGAATGTATGTGCTAGGTCCACATTTCTGTATATGATTGATGTGTGTTTGCAGAGACTATCTTGAACTGCACTTACCTGCATACCTGCACTTGTGTGTTTGTGATTACATATGAGTGTTTCTACAGCTTGGTAAATTTGAATGTTTACTGGGACCAACTTAGACATGGGTAAGAACTGGTTCAGTTTCCAAAAGCCATTTTAGAAACAAGCTTTACCCTCTACCTACCCACTTATCCTGATTCTCTTCCACTCCTGGAAGGTGGGACATGATGGGAGTAGAGCAAAGATGCTCTACAGGGAACCAAAGCCAAAAGAATCTTCTTAACCAACTGAGGAAAAAATGAAAAACACTAGGGTAGGGAGGTCCTTCACTTGAGTTTATATTATTTTTCATAGAGAATGACAAAGAAAGAAATTAGGAGGTCATTACCCTGCAAGGATAGTCTCAGCACAGTCCACAGCACAGCTCCTGAACCCGTTTCCTAAAACTCCTTCCCTTTTAAGACCTTGTCTTGGATCATTGTCCAAGATTTCTGAAACGGGCTTCATACATGAAAAAATGAAGGCATTGAAATAATTAGTGTCTGTCCTTAAGAGTCAAATTTTTGTGCCTTTGGCAAGTGTGTCTATCTATCCACATGACTTTCTCACAAAGGAATGTACATTTTCTTGGTGCTCATGGTTTGATTTCATGAGAGAAGATTACTGGAGATACGGGGGATCACCCAGATTCTTTCGTTCCATTTATTGTTTGTTGCTTAAAATCACAAAGTATCAAACTTGGAAATGGTCTTGAACTTCCTTTTTTTTATAGATGGGGAACCTAAGACCCAGAGAAGATAAAGGTTTGGAGAGAGAGGTAAAGTGGCTTGCCCATAGTGCAGACCAGTATTTAAATTCAGGCTTCTCTGACTACAAACCTGTGATTTTTTTTCATGGCCAAGAAGGCTTGAGCAATGTAGTTGCCCCTCACCCTTTTCCTTAGACACTAGAGAGATGACCCGTCGGTAGAAAGGAACCCCTGGGCATCCAGGCAATGAACCACCTAGCTATGGATGCTGCCAACGAGTCTTCAGAGGGAGCCCCATTTATCCTATTGGGTCTGACAACAAGTCATGGGCAGCGGTGGCCTCTCTTTGTGCTGTTCTTGGTCTTGTATGTGGCAGGCATCCTGGGAAATGGACTCATTGTGGCTGCCATCCGGGCCAGTCTAGCCCTTCATGCACCCATGTACTTTCTGCTGGCCCATCTGTCATTTGCTGACCTCTGCTTTACCTCCATCACTGTGCCTAAGATGTTGGCCAACTTGTTGGCCCATGACCGCTCAATCTCTCTGGCTGGTTGCCTGACCCAAATGTACTTCTTCTTTGCCCTTGGTGTAACTGATAGCTGCCTCCTGGCTGCCATGGCCTATGACCGCTATGTGGCCATCCAGCATCCCCTCCACTATGCCACAAGGATGTCTCGGACTGTGTGCACAGCCATGGTGGGAACTGCATGGCTGGTATCCCACATCCACTCCCTCCTGCACATTCTGCTCATGGCCCGCCTGTCCTTCTGTGCCTCTCACCAAGTGCCCCACTTCTTCTGTGACCACCAGCCTCTATTAAGGCTCTCATGTTCTGACACCCGTCATATTCAGTTGCTCATCTTCACCGAGGGTGCTGCAGTGGTGGTCACTCCCTTCTTGCTCATTCTCGCCTCCTATGGGGCCATCACAACTGCTATCATCCAACTGCCCTCAGCCTCTGGGAGGCTCCGGGCTGTGTCCACTTGTGGCTCCCACCTGGCAGTGGTGAGCCTCTTCTATGGGACAGTCATTGCAGTCTACTTCCAGCCCACATCCCGATATGAGGCAGAGCAGGGTCGTGTGGCCACCGTCATGTACACTGTAGTCACCCCCATGTTGAACCCTGTAATCTACAGCCTCCGAAATCATGATGTACAGGGGGCACTCCGAGCCCTGTTCACTGGGCGACGGATCTTGGCTAGTGAATCCTGAGGGCTGGACTCCATCAAAGACAGATTTTGCATCATCCACAGTGATAATTCCTGAATGTGATCATCTGGTTTGTGCTTTTTTAAAAAATAAAAAATCATCATAATAAAGCTACCATTTTCTGAGCATCTAATATGAAGCAGGTAAGGCATCTGGATGCTAACCAGAAGGCCAGCAGTTCAAACCCACCTAACACTCTGCATGAGAAAGATGAGCCAATGAGCCAATATACTTCTGTAAAGATTTACAGCCTTGGAAATCCAATGGGGGTCACTAGGAGTCAGAATTGACTCAATGGCAGTGGGTTTTAACATGAAGGAGATCCTTGCCTAATCTTATTCTATTGTCACAACAACCTTTGAAGCAGACAGTATGCTCTTATTCTTCAGAAGAGGAAACTGGAGCTTAAAGAGAAGACATGGCTTTCCTGAGTTCACACAGTTCTTAGATGAAAAACCTGGGCTTTTTCTCCCGCATGAGGCCCTTTTCTGACAATCCCTCCCAGACATTTAGAGTATTTCACCATTTTCTTAAGACTTAAGGAGGAGTCCCTGGGTAGCACAAACTCCTATCTAAAAAACTGGCTGTTAGAACCCACCCAGAGGTGTCTCAGAAGAGAGCCTTGACACTCTACCTCTGACAGTCACAGACTTGAAAACCCTATGGAGTAGTTCGACTCTGCACACGTGGGGTCACCATCAGTCAGAATCGGCTCGATTCTAACCACACAAGGACGGAAGGGAGAGAGCCCGGTGATCTACTTCCTAAAATCAGCTAACAAAAACTCTACGGGTCACAACAGTTTGTGTGGGTCGCCATGAGTCGGAGGCCAACTGGATGGCAGCCAATAACAACAACGAAGGACTTAGAGTTGTGTGGGAGGGCATCATTCCCAGGACTCGCTTAGTGAGGAGTGGCACTTGACTTCTCATCAATTTGCCGCGCATTCTCAAATAAAGTACCATTTATTCCTCGGCTGTCTGGGACAGGAGTAAAAGCTCACATGCCCTTGCATGAAGGGCTGACTTACTCTGGACACCCGAGATGAATAAGTGATTATATTTTTATGCTAGCAATCATGTAGATGCAGTCTCTTTTTCTTATTTTTTGTTCTCGTATTTGCTTGCTATGATGACACCTACTCAACTACACCTTGTATTTTTTCTTTTTTTAATATACTTTTTTTTACAGAACAAAATTTGTTTTACATTCAAAAGTTTGTGTACATTTGATTTCATGCCCTGACTACCATCGCCGACCATAGTGCACTCTCCCTCTCCCATCCCTGTGACCACCTCCTCCCTGTGCCCTTCTTAACTATGCACTCGTGTCTGTCCAGCTTTCCCTCTCTGTGAATGCTGCCCCTCTGGTGCCCCATGGCTGACTGCTCTAAGGGGTGTATCTCCCTAGAGTAGGTGGGTGCATCGCCCTAACGTAGGTATTCTGCATGTAGGTTTTTCTGCTGTTAGGCTGAGAACCAATCCTTGGGAATGAGTCCAGTTCTAGGCCTGAAGGGTAACCCAGAGCCATAGTCTTGGGGATTCCACCAGGCTCCATCCAAACAGTAATTCTGGTCATTTTTGGGTTTTTTCATTTTGCTCCACATTTTTCCTCCCACTCTATTCCAGGATCTCCAGTTTTGATCCCTTCTCGAGTGGTTGGCATTGTCCACCATGCGTTCTGTGGAAGGAGCAGCATGTCATGGACATTCACAGTTAAAAAAAAAAAAAAGGAAAGTAGAGCAAAAGGAAGAGGGCGTACACACCGGGGACAGACAGAAGAGTTAAGTTATCGGATGACAGTACTTCTCCTTTTACCCACAAAAAGATGTACCGATTGCCACTTTATGAGTAAGGAAACTTAGGCTCAAGGCTGACAAGCTAATTGGTAGCAGAGTCATGACAAACCCTTATGCTACTAGGAGAGCTCAGGTGTATTGTAACTGAGTCACATAGAACCCAGCCCCAGGCTTTGAGGTCTCAATGGAAGAACTTACAGGAAGAAATCTCAGACTTGGGAAGCTTTGGAGGTCTGAGATGCCCTCGTGATGTGCCTGAATTTTTACCAAACAGGTTTGTGAGGTGAGAGCTTTTACATCCATGTTTCTCTTAAAGAAATCCGTATCCTTTCTGCTTTCAGAGACAGGGAAGCTATAGCAGTACAAGAGCTGGGTCCCCACGAGCCTTCCAGCTCCTACGAACAAGCCTGGTCCCAGAACTGCTGAATTATGCTCATTTTTAAGATCTAAAAAGGACCTAATGGTCCTTAGTCCAATGATTTTCAACCTTTTTTTAAAAGCAGAAAAATCTTTTTTTCCCCCCCTAGTGAAATCTATAAGATCATAAACCCCACTAAACAAGTACCATCAGGTCAATATTGACTCATGGGGACCCCAGGTGCGTCAGAATAGAACTGTGCTTCATCATTTCCAATGGCTGTTTTTTCAGAGTAGATCACCAGGCCTTTCTTCCAAGGCACCTCTGGGTGGACTTGAACTCTCAACATTTCAGTTAGTGACCAAGTACATTAATCATTTTCATCACCCAGGGCCTCCAATATTATAAAACAGAAGCAGGGGTCAAAGCAGCACATCGTGAGTGAGGCCTTGAATCCACCTTTTCAGCCTCTCCTGGTGGATCTCCATTGCCCCACTCTATGAGGAGGGGTCCTGTTTAACCCAACCCCTTTATTTCATAAATTGGGAAACTGAGGCCCAGAGTGATTAAGGCTAAGGCTCCTAGCTTGGCCCACCGGAAGCCATTATCTCAGCCCTGACTCACCTCTTTAGACCATCCTTTCCTAGGCCCCCATCTCTCACCCTATTCCCAGGTTACTTGTTCATGCTGTTTCTTGCTGTGATGCTGGATCCTTGCTACACTATCAGCAGCTTGTCCCCTGCTCCACCACCCACATCCTCCCTCTGCCTTCCCTCAAGCTGCAAAAACATGATAGTCATGACGTTCATCAGCCACTCCATGTCGGTACCATTAGTCCTGTTTTACACCACAGAAATATAGAGACCAATTTCAAGCAAGTAAGGGACCTTGCCAGACTTGTCATTGTGTTCCTAGAACCTGGCACAAAGAACATTTGTAAGATATGCTGTTACCTTTTCTATGGTCTTATTCCAGGTAAGGAGAGAACAGCATGCTGGCATCAAGGGAATTGTCAGTGCTTCCTTCTTCTGGACCACCAATCCTACCGCAGTCATCTACTCAGATACATTACCAGCTTCTTGGAATACTGATCCATCCTTAGTAGTTTAAAGCTGTCATTTCCACATTGAGAATGAACAGGCTACATCACTACAGGGTGGTGAACTCTCACTGGTCTGCACTGTGCACAATTGTAGCACAGCCTAGCTTCTGCCCTTTGACCTCTGATCCCCAGCATCCTATCTCTGCCTCCACATGGTCCATATCTTGTACAACATGACCATCGCTAGCATCACAAATGCTTTCAGGTCTCATTTTTTCCTCCCAATGGCTCAGCCATTTAGAAATCCACATTTTGAATATGGGGAAACTGAGACTCAGAGAAGTGAGGAGGCTTGTCCAAGTCCATTCTACTAGTAGTCAGTTTAAGTCCCTGTGCAGTGTTCTTGGTGTAGTGCTCTTTACACAACACCATAAACTCACTCAAGTTAATAAATATTTATGACCATCTGCTATGTGCCAGACTATTTCCAGACACCCACTCAACTTATTTCCAGACACCCAGTAGGACAGGCAAGAAAAGAGAATGATGGGCACTCCCTGGCCATCTTCCTACCCCACGCCAACTAGACATGACTCCTTCTTTTATTTCACTATTGTTGCTAGCTGCCATTGAGTTAGTCCTTGACTCACAGCAACCCCATGCACAATGGAACAAAGTACTGCCTGGTCCTGCACCTTTCCCATGATTGGTCCAAGGATCATTGTGATCCATAGTTTTCATTGGTTGATTTTTGGAAGCAGATTGCCAGGCCTTTCTTATTAGTCTGCCTTAGTCTGGGAGCTCTGCTGAAACCTGCTCAGCATCAAAACCAAACCAGACTCACTGCTGTTGAGTTGATCTGACTCATAGTGACCCCTCCTTGGCATTCCGAGGTGGTATCTCTATCGTAGATTGCCCAACCTTTCTTCTGAGGAATGGCTGGTGGGTTTGCTAACCACCAGCCTTCTGGTTAGCAGTCAAATGCCTTAGGCACTATGCTACCAGAGCTCCTGTTCAGCATCATAGCAACCCACAAGCCTCCACTCACAAATGGGTGATGACGTACACAAAGTGTATTTGTTGGGCCAATCCAGGAAGCATGGATGGCAACTCACTGTCCTTGAGTCAATTCCAACTCATAGCAACCCCCACTGGGTTTCTGAGGCTATCATTCTTTATGAAAGTAAATTGCCCCATTTCATTCCACAGAGTGGCTGGTGGTTTTGAACCACTGAGCTTCTGGTTAGCAGCCAAATGCCTTATCTACTATGCCACCAGAGCTCCCTGAATGGAAGGCAAGTAGCCCTAAAAGATGATATTGATTTGGAAGCAAGAGGAAGAATGCTTCCTCTGTCCCCAGAAAGACTACTAAAGAGTTAGTAATCCACTGGGTCATTTTTACTAAGATATGTTGTTGTTTTGTGCCGTTCAGTTGGCCCCGACTCATAGCGACCCCTCTTTGGGTTCTGAGGCGATATTAGACTGGGTTGTCTAGAGAAACAAAAACCAGCAAAGCTTAGAGAGAGAGACAAATTTATCTTAGGAAAATGGCTCACACACGTATAGAAGCTGGCAAGTCCAAAGTTCCTGGATCGAGCTGGAGGTTTTCCTGTCTCCCGCAATTGCAGGGGCCGAGGAGCTCCAGGCTGGCAGGCAGTACACCGGCTGTTGACTCCAAGGAATGATGAATCCAAGATCTCCAGGCTGAACGGTGAACTGCTCACTCACAGACAGTTGTAGGCAACACAACAG